ATATATATATATATATATTCTAAGGCTTTATAAACACTTCCCACGCTCTTGCAATGTTCTAAACTCTTAAACCTACGTCATTTTAACACCACATGTATATGTACTGCACAGTACTGCAACGTTTTACTCGTGAGCTCTACAGACCAGCAGCTCGGTTCCGGTTCAGCAGACCTGCCCTGCAGCCATGAAGCCCACCGGCCCGTCCAGGTTGGTGTGCGCGTGGATAACTGAGCTTCAGGAGGACGATTTGTGACTTTCCCGAGCTTAATCAAGTTCCAAGTAAATTTTATTGTCGTTCTCATCACATGTGGTACATGAGGTGGAACAAAATTATGTACTCGGGAAGTTCCAGTTACACCCCAAGATAGCAAAAATATAAAATGTAAAAAGAAACGGTATATAAGGATCTAAGATATATGCTAAACTCTAATAATGTAAAACAATATGGTGCAACAACAGCAGCACGAACATGAGTCTGGTGAGCAGATGGGTACGAAAGAATATGACTGAATACAGCAGCATGAGATGATCAGCAGCATGAGATCAGCAGCACAATTAAGACACATATCACCAGTTAAAGTGGCATTACAGTCGTTTTTCCTGATTTGGGATTCATGAGTCTAACAGCCACAGGGTAGAAGCTGTTCCTCAGTCTAGTGGTTCTACACTTAATGCTCCTCAACCTCCTTCCTGAGGGGAGCGGGTCAAAAACTGTGTGTGCTGGGTGAGTGGAGTCCTTCATGATGCAGGTGGTCCTCCTTCCTGCATCTGGAGGTGTAGACGTCTGTGATGGTGGGGAGGCTGACTCCAACATCTTCTGTGCAGCCTTCACCACTCTCTGCAAAGCTTTTCTTTCTGCAGCTGTGCAGCCTCCATGCCACACGTTGATGCTGGAGCACAGGATGCTCTCCACTGCACACCTGTAGAAGGAGGTGAGGACTGAGCTTCCCAGACCAGCTCGTCTCAGCCGCCTGAGGAAGTAGAGTCTCTGATGAGCGTTCTTGATCAGGCTGGTGGTGTTGTTACCCCATCTGAAGTTGTTGTTCAGGTGCACACCCACCACAGATCCTCCTATGTTCAGGAGGGGGTGTGCTTGTTCCACCTGAAGTCCACGACCATCTCCTTCATCTTCTTCACATTGATGTGAAGTTGTTCATCCTTTTGATTCCTTCCTTTTGGTTGTTAATAGATAGATCGTTACTTCTGACTTTGCACGGCAAAACTTTCTCTCCATTTTGGCAGAAAACAGTTGCCGCAAGCACTGTTGGCTTCTGGGTAGTGTAGTTCTTTTGACTGGCAAAAACAATGTAGGTTTATTGAAAGAAAACTACAAAATGGCGGCGCCTGTTCGACGTCTTTTTTTTTGGGTTAACTTTCTGTCCCGTATTGTCCCAATCATGTGAGTAATATTCAAGTTGACAACCGTGTGCCGTGTACAATCTCACGTTGAAAAACCGCCAACGAGCAACTCCGAAAAAGTCGAACCGCGAAGTATCGAAGGACCACTGTAAACGAGTATAAAATCTGTGTGTTAAAAGTCACTGCTTACAAACTTGTGCCACGCTGCTTCTCTGTTTTATGCTGCCTAAACAAATCATCCGAAGTACTTGTAATAAACAGAAGTGTAAGTCTTTAGCACTGTAACTGTGAGCCTGAGGAAGAAATGAAAGAGCACAGCTCCTCTCTTATCAAAATATTATTTCAGTGGATTAATCCGTTTTTAATGTGTGTCTTTAACGAGGCGAGGGAAGAAAAAAGCTCATCCTGTGTCTGCTGCAGCAGCCTATCTCTCTGCCTCTCAGCCCTCAGCCCCTGGAGTCTCTCATGCATTATGTAGTGATGATTATTACTTAATTACACATTAATAAATCCGCTTCATTTGCAGGACATTAAATAGGAGCTGAGCACATGTGACAGTGAGCTGGAGGAGAGTTGTTTTTCAGGATTTATTAGGTTTTTTTTTGCGAGTTGTTTGCTGTTGGAGCTAAATGAGCTCTATGGAGGTTGAGTTTTGGAGGTCTGTGTTGAGTTCAGCTCTTCTGGCTTAGAGGCATTATTCCACTTGAGCTCTTCGATTTCTATTTTCTTTCTCTGTTTTTTTTTTTCTGGGGTACTTAAACTGCCAGATTAAAAAAAAATTACACACTACTAAACTAGTTGATTAAAGTTTTTATCAGTAAAGTACACAAAAGGTGTATTTTACAAAGCGTTGTGGGCAGGGCTTAATTTGTAAACCAATCGATGCTGGAACGTAAAATGAAGGCAGGCTGGAGGGATGGGTGGGTTGGTGATGTGGGGGGTCTGGGGGCCCTCCCCCCAACATTTTTGAATAAAGAACAGTAGTCCCTCGCTTCTTCTTGGTTCGTTTATTGCGGACTCGCTCTATCACGGTTTTGGACATGATACAAATGGCTGAACGGCATGCATGGTATTTTTTATTTAAAATAAATTATTTTAACATTTAGCGCCTGCTGTACATTAGTGCAGCCCATACTGCAGGATAAACTTCCTGCTGCAGCTGATCAGCTGTTCATGGTGCAGATCGGAGAAATGGGTGTGGCCAGGAGCGCTTGCAGGAGGCAAAGAGCAGAGGAGGCAGGGAGCTGAAATCATGACATTCTGTGATCTTTTAGAGTTTAGAAACATTGTTTAGAATATTGCAAGAGTGTGGGAAAGGTTTAAAACACCTTTATTTATACACACACACACACACACACACACACACACATATATTATATACATATAATAAACTATTACTACTTCGCAGTTTTTCACTTATCTCGGGTCTTTAGGGTACGGATCCCCTGCAATAAAAGAAGGATTATTGTAGATGTAATTTCCTGCAGTTTGGTGCATTTTAACAGGTTGTTAAACATCTATGTTTACCTGCATTTGTAAACACTCTGCTTCTGTCAAGCATCCTATCCCCCCTCCCCCTTACTTGACGGTTCCGAGCCCAGCACTGTCCCTGCTCGTTGTCGTCCAGCTCTACATGTGAAACCTCCAGGCGTCTCCTCCGTCTGGGCTCCTGCCCGTGTACGACTGCCTGGTTAGCTCGACACTCACCCCCATCACTCTTTTAGGGGAGAAGATTTTTTTAAGGGTAGACGTGGAAATGTTACTTGAAGAGGCAGCTCGTATGCTCGTAAGTGGTTGTTGTGTTTAAAATGAGTGTTTATGTTTTATATTCAGTTTGCATATCCAGTATACATTTTATTCATTCAAGGCAGTCACATTTGTTCATAACTTTAGTATTAGTTAGCCTGAGAGTTACCGGATCCAAGTAAACTATTACCGGAACGTACCCTGTCAACATAAGAGAGTTCCCGGGTCCTAATTCGGCAGGATCTGGCTCAAAGTAGGCCCTGGTTATAAACCGTACAAAAGGCGAAGCTCTCAATTTACCAGTCGATCTACGTTCCTACCCTCATTTTTGGTCATGAGCTTTGGGTTGTGACTCAAAGAAC